AAGAAGACAAGGATTTAACACAAAAGTTAAGTTACGAAACAAACACTTTGGATGAGAAGACAGTTCTTCTGGAAACTGAAGAATTGTCAAAAACAAACGACAAGAAAAAGAAGAAACGAAAGACAAAAGAATACGATTCGTCTGATTCTGATTTGGATAATAAAAAGAAACGCAAGAAAAAGAGATCGCGAAAGAAGTCTTCGAAGAGACGTAAGAGGAGGTCTTCTTCGAGTTCTAGTAGTTCTGATTCTTCGGATTCGAGTGATTCTGACGATCGAAAGAAGAGGAAAAGGAAACACAAAAAGAAATCGAAGAAACATAGAAAAGACTCGAAGAAAGTGTTGGAAACAAAAGAGAAGTCAAGAATTGAGGAGAAAAAGAAAGCCAAAGAAGAGGACATTGAATTCGTAACTGTGTTCTCAGTCGGCGAAACACCCATTGAACTAAAATGGCCTAAAAATATGATTAAAGTGACCGCTTGTGAGCCCAAACTTCAGTACAGCACTAATCCTAAAGTTGCCATTAATTCAGACGATTTCAAGCAATCGAAAGAAAGAAATAAAATAAGTGAAGAAATCGAGAAAATACGACACTTTGGGACAAACAGTGAAAATGGATGTAAAAATGAGAAGTTGTCGACAGAATACGAGAAATTTATGGGAGAATTGAATCCGAGTCATGAAAGTCATTGCGTTACTGAAGAATCTCGTGATTTGGAAACAAAACTGAGAGAAAAATTAGTCAAACAAATGTACGACAAAAAAGATGAAGACTTGGATTTAATGACATCTTCAGAGCGCAGAGCCATCGAAAAAATGAAGAAAAAGGGTCACAATTATGATGAAAATGTTGACAATAAAAAGCACGACGACTTGAAATCTGCTCCAATGAGTGCCTATTATTCAGCAAAAGTCCAAAAAAGTTCGCCAATTCATAGAAGCAATGAATCGGAAAAATACGAATCGAAAAGCAGTAAAACTAATGAATCGGAAAATTATCACAAAATGAATGAAATTAGTCTAAACATTAGCGAACAGCGCTCTCACAGCAGTCATAGCTCTGAGAAATCACATTCAAAGGACAGAAGCCATGAGGAGAAGAAGAGGACAACGACTGCTAAAGAACTGTTAGAACGCGTCAAACAGAAGAAGGACTCAAACAAAGAGTCTAAAGATAGCGGCGATAGAGACGATTCTCATCGCTCTAAACGTTTGCCACAAACGGCTAAAATACCTCATAAGAAGTGGCTCTCGAGGGCTAAGAGTTCGGTAACGACAGCGAACGCTGACTCAACACAACAAGCATTTGTATCGCAACCAATGAAACTCGACATGAATTTTGATTACAACTGGTATTATAATTATTATATGAACTCAATGTACGGTTTGGGACAATACCCGCAAGTGAACGACCCGTCACTGACGTCCGCCTATTACGCGCAGTACTCAATGGCCACCAGTTATGACTACAGCCAAAACGATGTGACCGAATGGATGGCACAACGAGGGCTTACTCTCGACTCAACCAATGTTTTGCCCCAAAACGACGCCAATACTGATGAAAGTGCTGTCAAGAGTGAAGGTTTGCCCACAACTGTCGAATCGTCTAATCAATTAGATTCGACCCTCACTTCACAAGTAAATTCATTTCATTTATAAATTTGTTTTTTCTATTTTTATTAATTTTGTTTATTCTGTTGACCAGAAACCGATTGAATCTAACGACCAAAGAGACGATTCACAAGTGATTGATACGAAGGACAACACAATCGAAACCGATAGTAAACAACAGATAGGAGTCGTAATCTCGACCTCACATTCAGACACTCCTTTCAATTCTGATTTATTTTCTGAGTCTAAGAGCCAAACAGACTCATCACTTCCTCCCATACTTTCAGTCAATTCGCAAGACATGGAAATGTCCGGCGATAACAGTCCTTCTCCACCGCCCCCTCCGCCCCCGCGACCCCTCATGACGACAATGATATCGTCAGAACCGCTAACACTACCGAATGGTGAGGTATTGCCGGTCGGAACCAAACAGATTGTTGTCCATCCGTACCAAACGGATGATCCAAACAAATTCACGGCCGACTGGTATTACAGCGCTTTCAATGCACAGAACAACTCACAGACAAACACTTCTTAAGACCAATCACTCAATCACTGGAACTTTCATTTAATTAAACATTTAATTCTATTTTATTTAATTGTTTTGATTTGATTATAATTTCCATAAAAATTTTCTTATAAAAACTATTATTAAAATAACTATTTTGTAAATATTTATCTAAAATTATATTCGGATCCGTTTTTGTCGTTAAAAATTTAATTCAAATTTCATAACAATATTAAATGAATATATATTTGGCATTAAATTGCGTTTAAATGTCAGTGTTTTGCGAGTATTTGTGAACAGAATCGATAAAAACGGCTAAATGTTGTGGATTTACGTCGGGATATATTCCGTGACCCAAATTAGCGATATATCGATTGGTTCCGAAACTTTCGACCATTTCTTTGACCATTAGATCGATTTGTTGGACATCACTATAGAGAGCACAGGGATCTAGATTTCCCTGAAGTGTAACCTTCGGTCCGGCCAATGAACGCGCTTCCGATGGCTCTATCGCCCAATCAATGCTAATCACATCGTATTGAGAATGACTGAGCGATTCAATGCCGAAATGAGCGTCTTTTGCGAACACAATCATTGGAACCGTTGGGACGTTGAGATCAGTTAACGATTGTTTCACTTTTTCACTAATCTTTTTGAGGAATGGAAGCGAAAACTTGTTGAACTGTTTTGGACCCAAAAAGCCGGCGTTTGACTCAAACACCTGCAGGAGTTGAGCGCCAGCCTTGACCTGAGCCACCAAATATTGAATGATCACATCACTCAACTGATCCAATAGTTGGAGACTCTCTTCTGGGTTCTGATACAACCATTTCTTGGTTTTGGACAATGTCTTCGAACCGCCGCCTTCTATCATATAACCCATAAGAGTGAACGGCGCGCCCGAGAAGCCAATCAGTGGTACTTTGCCGTCGAGTTTATGTCGAGTCAAAGTAATCGCTTCCATCACATAATGCAACTCTTTCTCCACATCGACATCGAGTTTGAGTAAAGTCTTCACGTCTTCCGGTTTAACGAGAGGATTGGGCAAAACGGGTCCAACGCCTCCAACCATTTGCACCTCCATTCCCAACGCCTGAGGAATGACCAGAATATCCGAGAAAATGATGGCGGCGTCCAAATCGTAGCGTCTGATTGGCATTAGAGTCACTTCAGCCGCCAATTCAGGCGTCCGACAGATCTCGAAGAAGTCATGCTTTTTCCTAAACTCTTGAAACTCTGGCAAATACCTGCCCGCCTGTCTCATCACCCAAACAGGCACTCGACCCACAGCCTCACCCCTCGCCGCCCGAACCATCACATCGTTCTTCAGGACTGGGAAATTGTCATTCATTTTCTTCTTATCTGCAAATGATTTAATCAATTGTTAATTCATTCAATTCTGAGTTCCCATCCATTCATTGCTTTCACTAAACATTGTCGACATCTGTGGCAGAGAGTCGTCAAAAACGCAACTTTAAATAGTTTGGGCAAAAATATTAAAGGGTGAACAAGTTTGTTGACCATTAGCCCTAATAGTAAGGGTCAAATATATCTTTTACTTTGACCTTTGACTAGGGTTACCCCGGGTTAACCTTTTGACCCATTGTTGTCATAACAAAAACTGGCAAAAATAACGATAAATATGCACAATAAATAGTAAATTGTGATTACGATTGAATTAATTTCATTTAAATCCCATTTAAATAAATATAATAATAATTAGAGTTCATATCTGTTGTAATTTTATTAATTTATTGCATAAAATTGTTATGATTTTTATTGGTTTTAAGATTAGTAATTTTGTGATATCTTTGCAATAGATAACCCAAAATATTACATCAGAATTTCTGATTCAGAAAATATGGCAAAAATATTAAAGGGTGAACAAGTTTGTTGACCATTAGCCCTAATAGTAAGGGTCAAATATATCTTTTACTTTGACCTTTGACTAGGGTTACCCCGGGTTAACCTTTTGACCCATTGTTGTCATTACAAAAACTGGCAAAAATAACGATAAATATGCACAATAAATAGTAAATTGTGATTACGATTGAATTAATTTCATTTAAATCCCATTTAAATAAATATATAAGTGGTGGAAAAAAGAAAATGCGCTTTTATAGTGTGAACGTAAATTAATTATTTCTCCAGTAAACGATGTGCCCAGTTTATAGATTATATCCTCGTGTAAAAATATAATAATGTAAAATCATTTTACTGTAAACTAAAATTTATTAGCATTTTCCATTGATGACCAGCAAATCTCCGAACATCACCAATTTTCAACATTAATTTTGTAGAAATTTCATAATGTTGTATTTTACAAAATTGTTCCCGGAAAAATTAAAACTATATATGATAAAAATTGTTTAAATGAGTATCAATGATTGTGATAGTTGAAAATTCTTAACGACCAGGATCATCGCCGTAATACCCAGTCAATGCTGACCACCCGTCGGTAATGGTCAAACTGATATGGGAGACCAATGTAAAAAATATCTGCCTAGAATATGTTCATACAATGGAGATGCGGGAAACAAACAATTTGAGATCATCTACAAATGACCAGGAAAAGGTTCAGACCAAGAAAATGGGTTTTTGTACGATTTCAGTACCTAAAAATACCTACCAAAAATGCAATTAAAAAATTAACTAATTAAAACATTTTTTATACGGGGGATTTAAATTCTATACCAACCCTGCCCTATACCCCAATATACCCCCTTCCGATTCCCACCGACTCCTATCACTTCTGTTGTCTGTTAAAGGAATGGCATTAAAAGTTGCAGAAGTCCTCAAATCGAGGCTGTATTTTATTTATTGCCTAAAAATCAAGTTAATTCGTTGAATAAACAAGGATCACACAGCGATGCTATACGTTAACCACAATTCGGGAAATACATCAAAGATTTTAAATTTTTCAATACTATTGTTGAAATACTTTCACTATTATTATTTTGTTAATTTTAAATGTTTTTGACAACAATTAGTTCTATTTATTCTGTAGATTTACTTAGTATATTTCAATAGAAAAAGCATCATTACATTGAAATAACATTACTCCCATAGATTTAGCATTACCCATGTTATTCCTATGCCATAGACTTAGCATTACACATAAGATTAGCATTAGTCCCATTGAGTTAGCATTGTCCATAGGATTAGCGTTACCCATGTTATTCCTATGACATAGACTTAAGCTGTAATCCCATAGAAACCCATGTTAAAGCCTTCTCCCATAGACTTAACATTAGCCCCATAGGATTAACATGGAGAAAAACTACCCTTTCCCTTCATATTTTGCATTCCCATAGGAAAAGCATTTCCCATGTTAAAGTATAGCCATAGACTTAACATGCAATCCCATGTTAAATCCCATAGGGTGGGGGGGAGGGGGGAGGGGAGAGGGGGGAGGGGCAGCCGAACGATCCTATAAACCACATTATTCATATCTGAATTGTGGTTAAAAATTGAAAATTTGGTGATATAATAAGTGATAGCTGATGACTATTATGACAATTACAACTTTGCTTAAAGTTGAGTACTTTAAGTATAAAACAATTTTTAGTTGTACGCCAATAAGCGCATTTTCTTTTTTCCATGACTTATAATAATAATTAGAGTTCACATCTATTGTAATTTTATTAATTTATTGCATAAAATTGTTATGATTTTTATTGGTTTTAAGATTAGTAATTTTGTGATATCTTTGCAATAGATAACCCAAAATATTACATCAGAATTTCTGATTCAGAAAATAGTTAGTCATTTTTCAAAAACGGATTTCATTGCAAAAATGTATATTTAACTTTTAGCACATTAAAAAGTTGTTACTGTATATTATTTGAAATAATTTATTTCCTAAATATTCATGCATGTTTTCATTTAAGTCATTGTAAAATTTCGAATTTTATAACACATTTCCACAATAGAAATCCTCAAAATACACTATTGTTTTGTCGTTTTATTAATACAATTAATATTATTTAAATCTACTCTTAAATCTTATTTTACTATTTTGTAATTTTGATTGTTTAAACATTTCAAACAAAACTCTATTCACTAGTTATAACTTTTGATCACTTGTCAACATTAAGCCGAAAAATTAATTTTAGTCCCCATTCAGTCATAATAAGCCAGAATATAAGAGCAATAAGATATGCAACAAATGAAAAAGCTAACACCAATTCATGTTAACTCGATTCATTATAAAGAATTTTCCAATTTTGGAGAATTTGTTGTCCAATTAGCATCAGTTTCATTATGGGATTCCCAAAATACAGAAAGTTTTAGACCCATAGGATTAACATTATAAGATAACATTAACTCACAAATATAGTTAAAGTTTTAGCCTAAAACTTTAAATGTTTAATTTGGTATAGGTAAGATTTAAAATAGGGTCTCATGTTATTTCTCATAAGATTTAAAAACAAATTAAATGTACTTTCAAAATATCAATTAACGATTAAATATAAGAATTAAAATTTAATTTTATAAAGTTGTTACATATTCAACAAATATTAGTTTTTTTGATATAAGGTCTAAATATTATAATTTCCAATAATATTTTGTAATTTTTGAGTAACAAATTTTACAGCAGTAGTTATTGGCTATACAATGACTTACAGATCCAATACAGTAGAATATGTCAGTTAGATGATGGTTGGAAATACACTGATTCTGGTTATATGAGATCAATGTGTGTAGAATACGATTCTAGTTTATTGTTAGTTTTAAAATGTTGCTTTTAATTCTAAATAACAATTACAACTAGAGATGTACTGTAAGTGCTAAAAGTTTGGCAACATTTAGGGGGGTCTCCAAGCATTTTCAACCACTCTTTAGCAATATCTATATTTCACATATTTACTAATTTCCCGGCGGTTTGGTATTTATATATTTCACTACATTACAGATCTGTCTATTAAATTGCCGTCCAGTGAAAGTACGAGAGTGACAACACTATATAGCAATACAGCATTACAGAGGGAGCAGTTGTTGTCACTCTCGTACTTTCACTGGACGGCAATTTAATAGACAGATCTGTTAAAAGTATTTAGTTAAAAAGCATATGAAGATTTCACATTTTTATAAAAATGTAGCCCAAAACTTCAAAATTTAGTCTAAATGAAATGTTCATATGAAAATTTCACTGAGATTTTCACCCCTAATTACAACTGTGTAAATGAGATTTCATTATAAGCTTTAAATTGCAGTAAAATGTAATTATGTGTTCATTAAATAAATGGTAATGTTCAAATTATGCCAAGCGTGCAACTGAAAATTAATGTTATAAATCGAAAGTACACTCTGTAAGAAGTACGATGGTATATTTCATTTGGCCAGAAGACCTCAGGTTTGGCCGCAGTGACCACTTTTATCAGAAAAAATTTGAATATCAAATCTAATATTTTATGAATAAATATACAATATTATATATTACTAGAAAAGTATGGATGAGTGGAATAATATTCCAAAAGAATTTCTCAATTCCGAAATATTGGACAAAAGTTATACCAAAATTAAGAATTTAATATAAATTTTATATGTTATTTATAGCTAAGGGCGTATTAGTTTTAGTTCATTTATACAAATATTAAATATAATTGAAATGATAATTATTTTTACAAATTAAAAAAAAATATTAAACTTTTAATTTACAATTTTTGGCAATTTATGCATTGAAAGTGAACTTGGTTCTTTTATATAATTTTAGGCTTAATATACAGTACATGTATACCACTGTATCTATAAATCACTTTAAGTGTATGGAAGGACATAACATCAACACATTGTTTGTATAACAAAGGCTTTGATTTAATATAATTTAATACAATAAATAAAATATAAATAAAAGAAAACCATNATAAAAATATATAAAACATTTTAACAATAGATTCAATTTTATGGATATCTTTATGCGTATATTCTTTGCTACAAAAGAAAAGGACAATTGTTTTGTTCACAAATAGCTGAATAAAATGTAAAAACAAGACGATAAATCACAGATAAATCTCTCTCTCTCTCTCTCTCTCTCTCTCTCTCTCTCGCTCTCTCAGGCAATATAAAAGCATATAAAATGATTATCTAAAAGAAGTTTCAAAGTTCAGCATAAGTTTATCTTAGAATTCCATTTAATTAACGTTAAGATTGATGTTTTCATTCAATTTATAGACATTTTTTGCATAAAAATCAACAAAAACTTTAGTAACGGTTTTGGAGTTTTGTTTTTACATTGAATTAATAGAAATCAATTAATTTAAATGACAATAAACGGAGACATTTCCGCCGTTTGTTCTTCATATTGAGAATATGTTACTAAATGTTAGAAACAATTAGAGAGTCAATTGACATGAATTATATTTCATTGAAACCATTCATCTTTTTATGCGTTAATGTTATAACAATTTTAACAACTCTTCTGTAAGTCTAATCGTCTGACAAGAGATGAAAGCAAAAGATATGTCCGCTTATGAGCGGATCAATGTTGGCGAAGACGACCAGTTAATAATCGAGGGCTATATGCCATCGCATGTGCGCTATATTTTATTTATCATGTTGGTTATCATCTCCTGTGGTATGGTTTTGATTATCATTACTTGGAAACCATCCCAAAGAGTTAGAATCACTCACAGCCGGTGCTCTTTAGATCAGGCGAACACTGTTGTACTCAAAGTAATTATGTTTTTAAGCAAAACATTTCCAAAACATGTTTTATATATAATATTTTTATTAAGGATTCTTTTGGCGAAGAATATGTGGAAAAAGTGATTCAAGGAATTAAAAGCACCGGAAATTGCGCTCATTTTTTCCATAAAAAAATCAAATATATTTGGAGAACAGAATTGAATCAATTTGTGAAACTCAAGTATTGATACATTTATTAATAATCTCTTTAATATAATCGACTAATAATTAAATGTTATATCAGAGGATTAGAGTCCTATAAATGTGGAATCATTTACTCAATGATCGAAGGCTTGACTTCTAATGAGGCTATTCTTCGGTCGCAATTGTATGGTTTGAATTCAGTTTTAGTCCAAATTAAACCCATTTGGAAATTAATCGTCGAAGAAGTGATTAAGTTATTCATATAATTAAGTGAATTCATTCGTCTAATTAATATTATCCTATGTCTACCATTAGATTACGGGTCCTTTTTATGTGTACCAAATGTTCATTTTCACCATTTGGATGATTCAACTCTATTATCAATTCTCCGTTTGTGTTCTCATTCTCTCTATATTTTCGGTTAGAATTGCAATCTTTGTGTAAAAATTCTCATTTTATGCATATTTTAGGTAACTTTACACGTTTGGCAAACTCGAAAGGTATATTCAATTTATCATTTTAAAATGTAATCAACATTTTGCATCAGGGTTAAGAATAAGCTACACCTTCCAATTATTCAAATCACCATATATTTAATGTTAAGGCATTGACTAACGCATAAAACATGTTTAAACATTGCCACAAATAGTGTAATTTTCTTACCAACTAAGTTGCTTTAAATTGTGGCTATGATTGATTATGGAAAATTGTAACTTTGTTTAGTATAGACAGTAGATGTATAAATAATGATATACTGTATTTAGACAATGTTAGACAATATAGAATCTATATACATGTATTATAATCTATATATTATAGATACTGGTACATCTATGTTTTAAAGCTAATTTTATAATAATCTAGTGCTTTGCTTACAAACCTTGTTTTGTTAAACACAAATATAGTAAAGAATAAGTGATAAGAATGTAGAATGGTCAAATTCATCAATACTTAAGTATCTAAATCTAAATTTAGATAAAAATTTTATGTCATTTAATGTCAATTTTTAAAAATTACATTTTAATGAAATTTAAAATTATTTAGCAATCAATTGCTTTAAGAAAAAAAGTTCATTCGGAGTCAGAAGTAAGTGTTGTTAGAGACGATACAATTGTGAAGAAGAAGTCGACAGAATTAGTTCCGGGAGATGTGATCATATTGTCGACACATAACAACCACTTTATAGTGGAATGCGATGCCGTTCTCATGAGTGGTTCGTGTATTATGGATGAGAGTATGCTTACCGGCGAATCGGTTCCCATCTCTAAAGTATCCCTCACTGAAGATCCAAATTCATTATACTATCCAAAGACTCACAAAATTAACACATTATTCTCTGGAACTCAAGTATTGAGCGTACAATCAAGTGATACTAATTATGTTAAAGCAATAGTTGTTAGAACAGGTATTTCTGTTGACAACAAATTTAAAAAATATAATTTCTAAACTATATTTTTAATTTATAATTTTTAAACAGGATTTTTTACAACGAAAGGAGAATTAGTTCGAAGTATATTATTCCCAAAACCCGTGAACTTTAAATTAAAAAAAGATTTAATTAAATGTATGGCAATATTCTTTATACTCGGAATTCCTTGTATGGCATACACTGCTTATTGTTTCGCTCGTTATAAGGTATGTTATCCAGTATTAAAATTACTAAATTGTCATTCATTAAATTCATAAATGGTATGATTGATAGGCAAAAATTGGTGATATAGCTATCATAGTGTTAGATGTGGCCACGTTTCTGGTGCCACCCCTACTGCCCGCAGTCATGACCAGTATTAACGCTCACTCACAACGTCGGCTCAGGAAGAAGGGTGTCTTTTGTCTCAATCCAAATGCCATCAACTGTTGCGGTGGAGTAGATATCATGTGTTTCGATAAAACAGGAACTTTAACAGAAGACTCGATAGACTTGTCGGGTGTTGTGCCGGTTCTCGACTATTCATTTACAGAACCCATTCGTGATGTCTCTAAACTCAATATAGATAACAAACTGTTGCTATCGTTAGGTTGTTGTCATTCATTGAGTGAAACGGATGACAAAGTGGACGGAGAAAGTCTTGATATAAAGCTATTTGAGGCCATCAAATGGCAGTTCAAATCCGATTATTTTATTTACAATGAAATGGCATTCGAGAGAAATCCCGAAAGAATTGTTGGACCGGTTATGGAGAATGAGGACCAAAATGAAGATATATTTGCGTTCGGAATTGTCAAACAGTTTCCGTTTGAATCAATGCTCCAAAGAATGATCGTTATTGTGAAGCAAGCGTTTGATAACAAATATGTAGTACTCATGAAAGGAGCGCCTGAACTCATTGTTTCCTTCTGTAATCAAACAACAGTTCCCAAAGACTGTACGCTTGTATTGGAATCGTATACAAGAGATGGTCTGAGAGTATTAGCGACCGCTTCCAAAGAGATTAACGCAGACTTAGAAACAGTCTTAAAGTTAAGTCGAGAAGAATTGGAGTCAGAATTGATTTTTGAAGGATTTCTAGTGTTTCAGAATATTCTCAAAAAGGAAACGATTCCTGTTTTGAAAACCTTAAAGAATGCAAACATTCGTTCAGTTATGATAACCGGCGATAACTTATTGACATCAATAAGTGTTGGCCGAGAGTGCGGTTTAATAGAGGAATCGGATTCTGTAATCAAAGTGGAGGCAGAACTGTATGAAAGCCCGAACCAAAACCAAGCGCTCCGTGTTTTCTATAGTTATGCAAAACTTCCCGGTTTTAGTGAAAAGCTTAATATGAAAAGGATACCTCTCGAGCTTCTCTGAGAAAACGGCCAATAAGGGGTTTGTCCTTCTATAGTAAATCGTTAACTCCCGTGTTAGAAAGTCGAGTAAGCTGTTTTACTGGTTTTTAATAACTTGGTTTAGTATGTTAAAGGGACCATATTCTCTAGAATGTCACCCGACCTCAAACTAAACCTGATAGAAGTGTTTCAAAAACAGGGCCATCAGGTGGGTATGTGTGGCGACGGTATGTTTTGTCCAATTATTATTGTATTATATTTCTTATGGTAAAATAATTATAAAAATAGGCGCTAATGATTGCGGAGCTCTGAGGACAGCAAACGCCGGCATTTCATTATCAGTAGCGGAAGCGTCTGTGGCCTCGCCTTTCACTTACAAAGAGAAAAACATCTCATGTGTTCCGATGCTTATTAGCGAAGGCAGAGCTACTCTATCGGCCACTATCGGTGCCTTTAAATATCAGGTGTGCTATTGTTTTGTATTACTCGGAGCCGTTCTGATCCTCTTCTGGGAGGGAAACAAACCATCAGATGGTCAGTGATATATAGGCGTAGAAATGATTGCTTTTATTAATGATTACTTAAACCAATGAATTCCGCGCATACAGAAGCAGCTATATTAGGAGTTATATAATGGCGGCCATCACAAGCCGTGCTGATTTCGGATAGGTTATTAACAGTTTGTTGAAGGGTGCTCTTGACAAGAGTCAAAAAACGGTCAACTTTCTATGTACTCATTCATTGTGTTTCAAATGATACTGTATTTAGGAATTAGACGATTAACTATTTCTCAAATCTGGTAATTATATACAGTCTTTAATGTTTAAAATGTTGTATTGATTTTATATCCCTATTATTGAAGGTATGAAGAGTTTGTGTTTGAATTGTCGCGAACGCATACGTCGAGGCGTAGCGTGTATAGTGACCGGTATAAGAGTCATTTGTACTAGAGAATACAGTAGCGTCGGTAGTAAAAGTCAGGGCCTGGGGGTATAGCCTGTCTATAAAAGAGGTTGTCATTCAAATTGGCGTTAATAAACACAAACAAGAATGGCTGATAATATCATAACTTATGTTTATGATTCATAAACTAATCACCATTTCTAATCAAATAGTTTACATACATTGATACACACTTAACATTGTATTCTATTGGATTAGTATAGAATAACATAACGTTACTATTCTGCTAAAGAATAATCATAGGCATCAGTTGTGATCACCTTATTTCACATAATATTCCCATTTTAAACCGCCTCAAAAAGCTAATTCTCATTGGCTTCATCTGAATTGTGTTCCCCCCATAGCTTTGCATGTCGTTTCTATATTCCCTACAACTTTTAGCTGATATCAATTGTCAAACAAAATATGAAAACCATATTTTTATAATTAACATGTTATTAATTATTGTATAGAATGGTATTTATTAGTGGTTTTGATAAACTTTGCATTAGTCGCGAGCGTTATCTTATTTCCGCCACAATTTGTATTGACTTTCTTAAACGTAAGACAATTCTATCATTTAATAAATATTATAAGAAATAAATATAATATTTATTCAATTGTATTCATAGTTCAGAGATATTCCGTTTCATTTCAAACTAATATTATTCACAATTTCAATCGCAAACTTCATATTCTGTTACGTATGGGAAGTGGTTATACTTCAGGGAATTGTCTTTAACTGGTTTTTGCCTAAAATGCGCTCAATTAGAGCACCAATACATCCGTACGAAAAGATTGAGCTCGAGATGCAAAGCAGCGACAGTTGGCCACCAGTTATAAGTCATCAGCGGTTAGAATCGGTCGCAAAGGAGAGACGAGCCAAACATGAGTTCAATAAAAGAGTGGCCAAAGAGAAGATGCAAACAAACGCGTGGGTTATGAGATCTAACAGTACTGACGATGAATTGGATCCATACGTCCCGACAATTATGACTCAACAGAGCATCGACTCCCCCGACGACAATCAAACCTCTCATCAGTTCTCAACGTTCAGCACATTTGTTCACAAAACTCATCACCAAAACACTTCCCAACTACAAGACTCTAGTTTATGAACTTTTTCCGCATGTATTACATAAACGTATATTTATTACTTAAAACTTCAGTCAAACATTGTTCCCATCATTAGATATGAGCCAAAGTTATGACTTTATATATTGTTAATGAATTTTAAAGCAAATGTTTTTTATACAACATTTAAAAGTTAATAAAAGAATATATTTGTGTAAAAATGTGTACACTATTGGAGTACACGTCAGTAAGTGATGGGCAAAACATACCTGTCTTATATTTTCGGAGCTATGAATCGCAATGATTTTCAATACACTTTTTAACCCTATATTCTCAAAGTTTACGTTAAGTTTAGCAATAAGTTGAGAACCGGTGGCCAATGGTTTGAAGACAATCAATACTAGCAATCAATGTATTAAACGGATAGTTGTATGAAATGTAATCAATTGATTCATTCAAACAAATAGACAACTCATTCGACGTGTGTTTGGCTAACAATAAGTGAAATGAACACAAGTGTCAATACATTTGTGACAAAAAGCAATTTGTCATTCAATTTAGCGTTTAATCGCTAAAAAGTTAGTCAAAACTTGTATTCACTTGTATTGACACATTTGGTGCACGTATTTGATGGACAGGTTTGGGCGAAACGATGGCATCGATCGCTTTGTCCTCGACTTGAGAGCAATCGTTAGTATCGTTGGTATGGTTTGTATGGTTTGACGGATCAACTCATCACTGACTGGTGAAGAAGATGTCCAACTCTTCGCCATTTGTGTCTTCACAGTACAGCCATCCGGGCTTTAATCCCACAAAATTGGGTCAAAGAGCGCAACAAATGATGGTAAGGATGGATGTGATGAGTGATATAGTGATGACTAATCTCTGATTGTCTTGAATGGTGTCTTAAGGGCGAGCATCGGCTCCCGAAGGCCCCGAAACCGCCGGACAAGCCGTTGATGCCGTACATGAGGTACAGCCGAAAGGTTAGTGTGACTCGAGTTTAGTCTATAATTGATTCAGTGATTGATTGACTGATGACTTGTGAACCAAATATATGCAACTTTTGCTCATTTGATATGATATACAATATATTGATTACACAATGAATTACTCGACATTGAATTTAATGCCAATTAGTGTCTAATATGTGGTAAATTGATATGTGATTGTTGTTGGGAATGGTGTACACTGTATGACACTGTATGACCTGATGGGTGTTGTTGTAGGTGTGGGATGTGGTGAAAGGTGATAATCCAGACCTAAAGCTGTGGGAAATCGGCAAAATCATAGGACAGATGTGGAGAGACTTAGGAGACGATGAGAAACAAGAATATATCGAAGCCTTTGAAGCCGAAAAGGTTTGGATCTTTTGATTTGCATTAATGGTTAACTATCTTATGGCTAAAACGTGTGGACCGTATGCTTAGGTTGAATATAATGATTGTCTTAAGTCGTACCACAACTCTCCCGCATATCAATCGTGGATCTCAGCCAAAGCCAAAGGTATCCATCGATGCACTGATGGAAATAATGATTGTCTAATCTCTTAATCACATCCGATTAGCTCAACGAGTAGGTGATGACCACAGCAGACAAACGCCAGCCCACGACAGACACACAACCAATTTGTTGGTGAGATTTGTTCTTAAATCCGTTCTTCAGTTCTCAACACTTGAGACAATCACTCGAGTCTTATGTCTGAACACTAGTCTAATCCAAGAGTTGCATATTTTTGGTTTTTGCAGCTTTTGCTCTGTTCTCAGCTCTCAGTTGTCGACCAATCAGTCGATCGCGACATCAATCAGACTAACCGTTCGCTTCTCTTCCCTTCAGGGCTTTCCGTCGCCTCAAAAGCAATCCGAAGGAAAGGTTTGCATTCAGGCGGCAGACGATGACGAAGACTGTGACGAGTTCTCAGTCAAACATTTAGCCACAGCTCGCTATCAACGCAATCACCGACTCATTAACGAGATCTTCAGCGACTCTATTGTTCCCGATGTCAGGTCTGTCGTGACGAACGCCCGAATGCAAGTCCTTAAACGTCAGGTCCAGTCGTTAACAATGCATCAAAAGAAGTTGGAGGCAGAGCTCCAACAGATCGAAGAAAAGTTTGTCCACAAAAAGAGAAAATTCATTGAAGCGAGCGATCAGTTCAAGGAAGAGATCCGCAAGAAGTGCGCGACTAAAGCGGTCGACGCCAACACTTTCAAGAAAATGGTTGACAAGGCTTTGGAACAGATTAAGAAAGATCACGCCCTCAGAGAGGAACAGATGGTTAAAAACACTGACAAAGTGGAGAAAATGGAAACTCAAGACGTCGTGACTGAAGCGCCGGTCGAAACGACAGACACCGCAAAAGAGAGCGTTGAGTCTGAAGGACAACAAATGTCTGCTTTAGAGAACACAGAAGAACCCAAAGACACTCAAAATACGGAACCGGAGGCCGAGTCTGAGATGGAAACACAATCTTCTGAACCCGTGGACCAAAATAAAGAAGTGATTACAACCGCAACTACTGATGAAAACTCGGGCTTCGCTTCAAACGATAGCCAACAGACGGATACTAACGAAACAAATAGCGATGAAATAGTGAAAGAGTCGCTAAAAATAGGCTCCGATTCTCAAGAAAGCAGTGATTTGGCGAAAGAGGAGAGCGCCGAAAGTGTGGCACAACAACAATAAAGTGCTTATTTATATGTTTTATAGCAATATTTTATTTAAAATTCATTCAATTCATTAGTAAAAGTAATGTAAATACAAAATTCTTTACATATTATGTAATTGAAGCAAATGTTGTCAATACAATACTAACAGTATTACAATTTGCATTACATTTGATGACATTCTTTAGCCACACATACAGTCAACCAATTGTGTTGTGTTTGCGTTACTGACAGCTCTGAGCCATAAGAATGTCATTAAAGATTTGATACATTAATTATTTAAATGCCAATTAATTTCGATTACATTAAGTGTATTGTTATTTTGATTCATCAATAAATACTTTGAATTTATACCATATAGTGTTCCCATAGAGAATGTGTGTAAAAGACCTTTACTAAAAGTATGTAGGTTACTTTGACAAGCATTGTATTGCTTTTACCGGTAATGTAGTTGAGTATTAAAGAGTAGTGTTATTTAATAATAATGATTAGAGCGTTAAGGCATACAAACAATAGCGGAGTTGGCATCCAATCGATCGTTTTCAGGAGCGTTGGCTTCACTGCACTGCTCGTCAATGTCTGGCTGTGCCGTACAGTAGAGCTCACATACAGTACTACTAATAGTGTTGTAGTGTTGGGTCAGTGAGAGTGTATGACTGTATGGACTTGTATTGAGTGAATGTATGAATGCATTGAATGTTATGAATGTATTGACAACAAAATGGAGACAACATTTGACTCAAGAGTTGATTGACTGAATGGACCGGACTTTGAAGTGGACGTGACTAACGAAAACATGACTCAGTGTCGAGTTGTATGAACTCACGGCCCAAACGTGCGGTCAGTAACCAAATGGCTGTCCAAACAACTGTCCAAATGGTGGCCCAACTCTTGTCACCCCTACTCTTATTGGCGTTTATGTCGGCCACCGATGTCTTAGCCGATGGTCTGTTCCCACACCGCGACACTCGTGTCCACCACTCGCTCACCCATTGGTTGCATTTGTTTTTGCAGATCCGCCGCGAATCATAACAGCGCCCAAAGACCAGTTGGTTGTGTCGGGACGTGTGGCCACATTTGTCTGCGCGGCGATCGGCACTCCCAGGCCTCAGATCGAGTGGCGGAAGAATGGCAAACGACTCGTCACTCAACGATACACTGTTCTCGAGATACCCAACGGATCCGTTCTTCGCATAGAACCCGTCAGAGCTGTAAGTATTGGTGTTAACGAGTGTTTTGACAGCTCGTCAGTCATCTTCACATACAATGTCTGTTTGTTGTCATTCGCGCCATTCATAAGCCAATGGATTAGCCTTTTGTGATGATTACCGCGATATTGAAGTAGACTTTGATTTAATGTTCATTTGTTGTATTGTTTGGTCAGATGCGAGACAACGCTTCGTACGAGTGTTTGGCCGAGAATGGTGTCGGCGAACCCGTCAGAGCACAGGCTCTTCTCAATGTCTTCTCCGGTATGTTATGCTATGGTATCGAAAGATACTGTTATTTAATACCATTTGAATTGTGTTGACAGACGAAGAGATACCGAAAGGGTTTCCCCGGTTTACACTTCAGCCGCATATGCAGGGCGTAGAGAGGGGTCGAAACGCTCTGATCCCTTGTAAGGCTGAGGGCGATCCCGACCCCCATATCACGTGGTTTAAGGATATGATCCCAATAGATATGAGTAATACTCGCTATTCATACTATTCGGGCGCTTCTCTGCAGATAGTGGGCGCCGAAGAGGCAGATCAGGGCCAATACGAGTGCATCGCCGAGAACAGGATCGGCACCGCGTACTCAGATTTGGCCACACTCTACGTCCGCACTCGAGTGGTTCCGCCATATTTCTCGATTCCACCCGAAAAGCAATACGAAGTAATGCCCGGAAGTGCTCTGAATTTGACGTGTGTTGCCGTCGGCTCTCCAATGCCTTACGTCAGTTGGAAGAGAGGTCCGACTGACTTGAATACTGCCGACAATATGCCAATTGGGAAGAATGTTCTCAAACTGGAGGACATCCGAGAAAGTGCTAATTGTATGTATCTTTACACTTAATTTTAAACTATTTTTATATTATGACACTATTTATCAAAACAGACACATGTATTGCACACTCAAAACTTGGAAACATTGAGGCCTTAACCCAAGTGTTGGTGCAGTCACTGCCGCGACCGCCCACTAATGTCAGGATATCAGACGTGACGCCCACTTCAGTGCGGCTTTCGTGGTCTTACGATATCGGCGCTGAAAATATCGTATATTTTGTTATTCAATACAAACCGAAGAATGCGAACCAAGAGTTGAGTGAAATCAGTGGAATCACGACATTCTTCTATATCGTGGGTTCGCTCACCCCTTATACCGAATACGAGTTCTATGTGGTGGCCGTCAATGCCATCGGTAGGGGTCAGGCCAGCAATCCTGCAATCGTCACCACCGGAGAGACAAGTAATTGAATTTTAATTATTTCTACTTTCCTTTTAAACAATTGTTTCTATTACTTAACACTTCATTTCCTTTCAATTAACGCTTTCATTAGCTATTAATGGATATCGAAGTAAGTCTTAAAAGCATTCAATTTCTAGACTTGAAAGTATTCTCAATCACTAAAACTTTTAGTCTAAAAGCAATACAAATGCATTTATATTGTATGCTATTATCGTTAAGTAAATGATGTCTATTGTTGTGAACTAAACACTTAACATAATCATCATTTATCGCATTTAGCAAAAGTACTAATTTTAGTTTTGCTTTTTATAAAACTACAAATGTTTTCAACAAATGTTTTCAAAGTAATAATTTATAATCTAAATGTGAATTAAATATTAACCAAACAGTGATTTCGTCAAATCCACGCAATTTGAATGCCCGGCCATTGAGCTCAAGCACAATAGTAGTGCAATGGGATCAGCCCGAAGAGCCTCACGGGCAGGTGACCGGCTATAAAGTGTATTACACGGCTCAGCCCAGTCTGCCGACCACAGCGTGGAGCACACAGATTGTCGACAGCAATCAATTGACCACAATATCCGATTTACAGCCGCATATGATTTATACAATTAGAGTGCAGGCATTCACGAGCAGAGGCGCGGGTCCGCTGTCAGTGCCGGTGCAGGTGAAGACCCAACAGGGAGTTCCGAGTCAACCATCGAACCTGAAGGCTACGGCCACTTCTTCGACAACAGTGCAACTCAATTGGCAAAAGCCGACACATGTGGGCGAAGCCATCATTGGCTACGAAGTCTATTGGAACGACACGTTCACCAATAGGGAGGAGAAGCGCGCCATTCCTGATGTCGAGACATTCACTTTAGGTGACTTGAATCCCGACACTCTCTACTACGTATGGGTGGCCGCCAAGTCTCGCAGGGGTGAGGGCGCCGCCACACCTCCCATACCCGTCAAAACTGAACAATTTGGTGAGTTTTGCTTTCTATTATGTACTTTTGAAACACATTTAGAAACTGTTTACATCTATTTTTATAGTTAATTGCCTTTCAATTACTATACATTAAACGTAACTAATATTATTAAATTTATTATAAATGTTAAATTGAAATTGCTTTTCAAAAGTAATATAAAATGTGTTGTTCTTACAAATAACGGTATATGCGATATACGATTGTTTAATCACAAATCAGAATCTATTAAATCATTTTATATATTTAATTTTAATGCACTCTTTAATTAAATTTAACAAAATATTTCTGATTTTGATATTTATGTAACTGTCAGTGAAGATGTTAACTGTTAATTTTGTTGTTGATGTTATGTTGCGTTTATTTGGTGCACCATTTGACTTGATTTATCCCGATGTAGTTCCCGGAGCCCCTCCACAACAAGTGCACGGAATAGCAATAGACTCAAAGAGTGTGCGAATTGAATGGAAACCCCCACCCCTTCCCAAACAACACGGAACCATTACTTACTACAAAATTATTTATATCGAAGACACTATAAATCTTTCTAAAAAGTTTGAGACCAATGTAACCGCCAGTGAGTCCTCAGTTGTATTAAAACATTTGAACAAATGGACAAATTATCGCATTCAAGTGATTGCGGGCACAGTATTAGGCGACGGTCCGCCCTCTCAACCCATTTTAATCCGCACCGACGAAGACGGTAAGAGGTCTACCACTTGTCCCGCTTATGGCTTCTCTACTTTACTTCTCTCTCGTCTCCTCAATAACAGAATTAATGCTCAAAAATTGTCTTTCAATTGAGAATAACTTGTAATCAAATACTAACCAATTTCTTACTTCTCAAAACAAACTACATTTAACGGGTGTCTAATAAGAGGTCCTTCACATTGCATGACATTTACCCCAATATTAACGCTTATAAGCACTAATTTTTATAGATCTATATTATGCCGTATTTTTCATATGTTGTAACAAATGCTATACATTGTGGTAAATCTAATCAATTATTAAAGCGTTTGAATGTTTGCACTAATTATTAACATGAGAATTATAGTATTTAAATAATGATAAATGATATTATTGTGACAGTTCCGGGCGAACCACGAGATGTAAAGGGAAGTGCATTGAATAGCACTGCAGTATTAGTTGAATGGTTGGCACCCATTCATAAGGAACAAAATGGTTTGATTAGAGGCTATCAAATACACGTACAAGAAATCAATACAAATGGAGATCTCATTAATGATCCGATTCGATACGATGTGGCCGACGGTATGGCACAGGACTATAACATAACGGGTCTTCAACCGGACACTGAGTACGCCATACAAGTGGCTGCCGTTACGCGTAAAGGCGACGGAACCAGAAGTCGCTCGACAAACGTACGGACATTGGGAGGCGTCCCCTCCAGACCCGATATACTGATCCGTCTATTGCAAGACGAACCGCAGATGAGTGTTGAAGTGCAGTGGTCGCGACCCAATCATACTTATGGACAACTTATGAAATATAAACTAAAATACGGCCGAATCGATGGCACGAATCGAGAAGAAATGGAAATCGAACCGCAAGAACAGCACAGAATCATCAGAGATTTGGACAGAGGGGCCAGATATGAGTTCCGCATTGCGGGCAGTAATGTGATTGGTTGGGGACAGGAGTCCGTAGCCTATGTCGAAACACCGGAAGGCATTCCAAGAGCTCCGCCACAAAACTTAACTCATCGTTTGCAAAGTCCGACTACTGTTGTGGTCAATTGGGATCCACCGCTTCCTCAATACAGAAATGGCAAAATATCCGGTTATGGCATCCATTTTAGCAAACTCTCCGATCAGAGCCCTAACGAATACAATACATCACAAACTCGTATGGTTTTCAGCTCTTTGGACGAAAACACTGAATATTCTTTTAGGTATACATTGTTTAAGTTATTGTTTACTTATGACATGCATTTGAGGTGTTTATAAATGTTTTAAAATTGTTTTAAATAGAGTAAGAGCTCACACGAGTAGAGGTACGGGGCCGTGGAGTAACCGAATTCAATTGCAAACTCCCGGTGATGTACCGCCGGCGCCAACTAATGTGCAATCGTTGAGCACATCCGAGACATCAGTGGAGGTCTGGTGGGACGAAATGCCATTCTTTAGCGACATAATAGGTTATCACGTATTATATTCGCAAACACCTGTCGAAGACTTGGATCTCTGGTACCGAAAGGAAGTGGCGCTCACGTGGTCGGCAGCCGTCACTGGCTTAGAGCCGAAGACTATGTATGCCATACGAGTGGCCGCCTATACTAATCAGGGTTTGGGACGACTCTCCGAATTGATTACTGTGCGAACGGATCCGACGGACGTTCCCTTGAATTTGCAAGCGTTAGACGTGACCACACATACGATGACACTGACGTGGAAAGCGCCCAAAAAGTTGGAACCAATTAAATATAGGATAAGATATGGCGCTCACAAAGAGTTCTATGACAGTCAGGGAGTTCTTCAAAAGTTGCCAATTGGTCCCGAATCTATTTATGTCTCTTCCGATGTCACGGAATATAAGGTGAATAGTTTGATGCCATTCACCACATATCAAGTGAACGTAACGGCTGTGCCATCGGATGAATCGTTTCGACCGTCCGCTAAGATAACAGTGACGACAGCTATGGCTGCGCCCAAACCAATGGTTAAACCCGATACCATTGAATCACAAAACAAACAACAAATCACTGTTATTCTGCCGCAAGCGTCGGAAGAGTACGGACCTATCAGTCACTACTATTTAGTGGTCGTTCCGCACGAATACGTCAACAAAGAACCCGATAAGTACTCGATTGAAGAGTTGTCGGCGACCCAAAGCGATCGCGTCGGGCCATACATTGCCGCCAAATGGATGCGAAGAGCTATTCCTAACACATACTCTCTCGGAGACGGACAGAAATATAACGGATTTGTTAATAGAAGACTAATGAAAGGCGTTATATACCATATATTCATTAGAGCTGTTGTCGACACTCCCATAAAGGTATTTATGTTTTGATTGTTAGTGTTTTATGGAAGTTATAATTTTGTATATAATTGCAGAGTCTATTCACGAGTTCTCCGTTTTCTGATGCATTGAGTTTGGAGGCGATAACAGCTGAAGGACACGGAACCAGGAATGTGAACGTTCCACAGGAAGAGCCTCAGGCAACAGACAGACCCGGAGACAGGATTCCAGTCACCAGAGCTGGTGATAAGTCTGGAGCTATTCTTATTCTATCAATAGTATTGGCTATTCTTTTGGTGGTGATGTCCGTCGGATTTTGTATTATTAAAAGGTATTATTAATACAAATGTAAACATTATTGTATTTAATATTTTTTTCTGAAACTTATAGACGACGACAACTCATCAAATCTCCCGCAGCGGACACTACAATGAAATTGTTGTTAAGTTCGGCAGAACCGCGGGATCTGACGACTCATCCCTCAGATCCGGTGGAATTGCGGCGACTTAACTATCAGACGCCGGCAATGATGAGTCATCCGCCCATTCCGGTCACAGAGCTCTCTAACCATATCGAGCGCCTCAAAGCGAGTGAGAATCTCAAGTTTTCTCAAGAGTACGAGTCCATAGAACCCGGACAGCAGTTCACTTGGGATAACTCGAACATCGAGTTCAACAAACCGAAGAACAGATACGCCAATGTCATTGCATACGATCACAGCCGGGTTGTACTCCAACCCCTCGACAGCACTCCCGGCTCTGACTATATTAATGCCAATTATTGTGACGGATATCGTCACGGAAACGCTTACATCGCTACACAGGGACCGCTGCCCGAGACTTTTGGTCAGTTTGCTTGCCATTCATTTTTTGAACATGTGTTTTGATTGCGATGTTTGGTATTTCAGGTGATTTTTGGCGAATGGTTTGGGAACAGAGAAGTGCGGCCGTCGTTATGATGACTAAACTGGAAGAGAGAACTCGTATAAAATGCGACCAATACTGGCCATCGCGAGGCACAGAATCCTATGGCGTAATGCATGTGACGCTCACTAATTACGAAGAGTTGGCCTCGTATTGTATTCGCACATTTAGTTTGCAGCGAACCGGTTATGGGGACACCCGTGAAGTGCGTCAGTTCCAGTTCACGGCGTGGCCCGATCACGGCGTGCCCGACCACCCGACGCCCTTTCTTATGTTCTTGAGGAGAGTCAAGACAATGAATCCTCCAGAGGCCGGACCACTCATCATACACTGCTCGGCCGGTGTCGGTATGTCATTCACTTTTTGCTTACAGTTTATAGATTTGAGACATTAATTGTTGTATTGAAACGACCAAAAGGTCGGACGGGTTGTTATGTTGTGATCGATTCAATGCTCGAACGACTCAAATACGAGAACACGATCGACATCTACGGTCACGTGACGTGTCTAAGAGCTCAACGCAATTACACGGTTCAGACCGAAGACCAGTATATCTTCATTCACGACGCAGTGCTGGAAGCGGTGATCGCCGGCAACACAGAGGTGTCGGCGCGCAGTCTGTATAACCACATCCAACTGCTGATGCAAGTGGTTCCCGGAGAGAACATCACTGGCATGGAGTTGGAGTTCAAGAAGATTGCGTCCATGAAGACTGTGGTCAATAAGTTCATCAGCGCTAACCTTCCCGTCAATAAGTTTAAGAACCGACTCATGAATATATTGCCGTATGAGTCGACGCGAGTCTTCTTACAACCCCTCAGAGGAGTCGAAGGATCCGATTATATAAACGCCAGTTTTATTGACGGCTATAAATACCGGAGCGCTTATATCGCCACTCAGGGACCCCTTCCCGAAACCACTGAAGATTTTTGGCGAATGCTTTGGGAACACAACTCCAATATTGTCGTCATTCTAACTAAACTGAAAGAAATGGGACGCGAAAAGTGCCACCAATACTGGCCTTTAGAGCGATCGCAGAGATATTTGTATTTCGTTGTCGACCCCATCACTGAGTATAATATGCCTCAGTATATACTCAGGGAATTTAAGATCACTGACGCCCGGGTATATACAAAGTGCTCCAAATGTTACTTTTGATTATTGATTGCATTTGTTTCGCATGGATAGGACGGCCAGTCGAAAGTGATTCGTCAGTTCCATTTCGTCGAATGGCCCGAACAGGGAGTTCCCAAATCTGGCGACGGATTCATTGAGTTTATAACACAAGTCCACAAGACTAAGGAACAGTTCGGTCACGACGGACCCATCGCTGTTCACTGCAGGTTTGTTTACTAGTTGTTTGATTATTGAAATGGTATGACATGAGTGTGTTTTGTGATTCTAGTGCTGGCGTTGGCAGGACTGGTGTATTCATAACATTGAGTATAGTATTAGAGCGGCTGCAGAACGAAGGTGTGGCCGATCTGTTCCAAACAGTGCGAACACTTCGCACTCAAAGGCCAGGTATGGTTCAGACCGAAGATCAGTATCAGTTCTGTTATAGGGCTGCACTCGAGTACATCAGTTCGTTCGACAATTATCCCAATTAATGATTGATGTGATGACCCACTCATACATCACGTCTCCATTGCCATTGTTTTTCATTTAACATTCAATGCATTTTCAATGAATGCTTTGCAGCTGAAGGACAGCCACAATACGGCTAATTTTGGGCCAAATTATCGTCAGTACAAAACTGTTTGTCAATAGATTTCACTATTTATTAATTTACTCAATATTTATCACATAATGTTTTGACAACAGAACTGGTGGTAAAGTTCCTCATTATTTGTTTTATATTTAAAACCCAACCATTGATTTGCAGCTCAAGTCTAATATGAATAACTAATTGATGGCAATATATTTAACTGAATATGACTTTAAACAATGATTTGTGCCTAAAATCTATTTGAATAGTATTTATAAAATGCATTCAATGAGTCATTAATGAAAAATTGATGTTTTTGTGTGTAATGTTTGCGTCAAATTCTAGTCTCAAATCTTAAAACTATTGTCTGAACAGCAAATGAAAACCTCAGCTAAAGTCAGAATTGAATTCAATTGATATCAGAATCGATTTTTGTGCCTCTCTTTCGTATATCACTTATGCTTTCGTTTAATTGATTTGATTATTGATTACATATAAATGATGTGATTATTCATATATACGATGTGTTTGTGACTCAAAATTAAACAGTAAAACCATAAACCAATTTAACCACACGTTTATACCATTACAATATTAACAATTAATAAAACGCTAACTTCTACTGTAATTATAAACTTTTAACAACTGTAGTCGTTGTGAGACTAACAAATAATGTATTATTATATTATAGAATTGTAACGAATAAGTACTTAATTGTCGCTGATTTACAAGAATCTAATATAATCTCAATTCTAATACTAATTGTAATACAAAAATTGACGAAATTTTTACAGATTTTGGCCTTTAATTGAATTAATATAAAATATTCGGCAAAACATATGATTTTTATGTTAGAAATGCATATCATGTTTGCAATTAATGTCTAATAATTAACATTTTAAATGTGACTTAATTTTTGCTGTAAATGTAAATATTTCTATAAATATACAAATCTATTGAATGTATTAATAGACAGACTTTTGTTAATTTTGTGACATTTTTGATATAATTATTAGCCAAATGTAATCTTTTATTAATAATGTATTAATACTGAAACATCAGTTTTTAGATCATTTTATTTACATTTGAATTACAATTATTGTGACTTTCATTCATACGTTTGGATGACTCCGTGTCCCACAAAACGTCGAGTAAATTATTTTCTCATTTCAATCAAAACCTAATGTTTTATAATTACAACTAATTATATATCAATACATTGAGACTATGACATGAATTATAAATAACATTTCATTTTACGTGTAATAAATTTTATTATAATTATTTTTATCATTTGCTATCAAAACACGAAATATTTAATAATTTTGTTTTTAAACAGTTATCAATTAAATGTAAATATTTGTTTTTATAATTTTTTAAATTACAAATTACTTTTAAATAATAAATTAAAAGAATTTTATTTGAATTTTTTGAGACAATTGTTATTATTGTTATAAAACACTGAATTAATTATTAATTTTGCAATTCTTGACAAATTCTGTACTAAATTCTGGGCTTTCTATGGCATTCATCATAGCATTTGGCTTCAGATCTCATTTCTCCCTTATTTATAACGCCGTCTAAAACGGTAATGTCTTCTCTGCACTGCATATACTGTAGAGTACTCTATATGAATGATAACACACTCTGTAGTGCAGAGAAAGTGAACAGTGAATGAGGTATAGGCAGTGCTTATTGAATGACTACTGAATGCCATTTGTCTGTGAAATGTGTGTTTGTTTTGATTTGAATTACAGTTTAAATTAAATGCGAAAATAATGTCAAATCTATTGCGAATTCATATGAAATTATTGCCCAAATTTCATATTAAAAGTCCAAACATTTGTTTCTTTCGGTTTAATATATGTTTAAATCATAAGAAAAATACTTTGAGTTTAATATCAGTTCGTTGTTTGACTTCAAACCAGAAGTCGTATCAGAAGTACAAAAGTAACCACTCTTTGGCTGAACGACAAAACGCATCCCAAAATGAGGTCACGATTGGAGCCAAAGTGAAGCAAACCACTCAAGACATCACTTACTTTGGTCTTAACCCTCATTACTATTACCACTCCTCTCAACGCATCCATACATTCCTACCATTTATATAATCCATACTTTTGTTTAGCAATAGATCTGAAGAGTTATTTAATGAAACAATTAGTGATTAATTACTTTATTAAATGAGGCATTAATTACAGACATTGAGCCATAGGTTTATATAACAATGAAAGCACCGGTAGATTGAGGCCAACTATGGATCCGTTGAGACATAACTAAACCATAAGTTTACGTTAAGTTTGCAATAATTAACAAAATCTGATTGCTTTGTGGACAACAGGTGTTATACTATTGGGTGTTTCAGTGACGGCAATAATCCTTTGGGCGATATTTCGAGAGCTGTTCTCATCGGTCAGTCCTTCGGTGTTGTATTCAAATGCACTAAAACTCTGTAAATCTGATGTACGAGTTGTTGAGGCGATCGGCGATCCCATCAAAGGGTTCGGCGAAATGTCTTCGCGCGGCCGCAGACGACACGTCAGTTCTCTTGAGTACGAAAAGGATGGACAACAAGTGATTCGCGTTAAGTTCTATCTGAAAGGATCCAAAACCAGTGGAACCGTTCATTTGGAGGCATTCAAGAGGTCATCCAAGTCTAAGTATAGATACCTTTTCGTTGAATTAGACAATTCTCGTCACGTGATTGTCTTGGAGGACAACCGACGCCTCGAAGACAAGTCCGGCACTACTCTCCACTCATTATAACAATTTTGTGCCAATTATTTGATTTGCAAAATAAAATTATGTCAATATTTTGAAACATTTCTTAATTAAGAAAAAGAAATGTTTATTCTATGAAAATAAAAAGTCATTATTTTTACGTTATATTGATCTCAGTTTGGAAATGAGCTTTTGATTGAAAAATAACTATTTTATTCATACGGAATATACAGTTATATTCTGAGTTTGTTTTTCTTTCTGCTTTTTCTATGGCAACAGATTTGTCGTCAACACTCAATTTGTAGTCAATTAGCGTAAAGTTAGACCCGATGTCTGATTTAGTGGCCGTTTGGGACGTCCCTCTATGCGATAGAGTGCATAGAATTGAGTTTGAGCATGGTACTACTACTGGCAAACGGGTCCTCAAAGTCGATGGACAGGTATAGTCTCGTTATGTGTATCGCATTTCATGATATTCTGTGTCACATATTCTGCATTACATTTGTTGCGATATTCATTGTTATAAATTATTTTTAAAAAAAGTTAAAACAGTGAATACCGGTGAATATTAAAAATTAAAATATGTTATCATAATTTGAGTATAAATGTGATATTAAAATGAATTCTTTGTGAATGAATTCTAAAAAGCACTAACAGTTACCTAGAGTTGAGGGTGTAATTGAAATTACCGTAATATTGTTTAGATTATTATTTATTGCAAACGTTTATGTGATTTGTTTAAAACTAAATAAAAAATATATAAATTTAATCTTTTTAATAAAAAGATAAAGGATCTAGTTTGAATATTAATTGTTGAGAGTAATGGTTGTATAAAGAATTGAATTAATTATAAGATGTGTACACTTCTCAGGAGATCGTACGGCGGGAATGGATGTTCAAACTGGTGGGCAGTGAGGCGTTTGAGATCAAGGGAGAAGAGGGACAGGTTTACGCCAAATGCGAAATTTTGATTAACGCGAGCACTGGATTCACGTATGAATACTCAATGGTTGTGAACGGAAAGCAGTTGAAGAAATTTAAGGAAAAGCAGTCAAAAGTAATGAGCACTTGGATTGTGGAAATTGGCGATCAAATGTGGAGAATAGCTTTGGGTATAAAAGTGTTGAAACATTGCAAACAATAATAATTATTGATTTGTTTGGACGCAGAGAAGGAAACGCTTGATATTTGGGTGAATGGAGTGAAGGCGGAGACCAATCATGAGTTTGCCGACGAGGGAACGGAAATGCATTTTCTCATTGAGTCTCAACACAAGGCATGCATTAAAACAATCAGTTCTGGCAATAAAAAAGAGGGAATCGTTTACTCGCTTATTGTTAACGATAAAGAAATCACAAATTGAATTCACAAAAGTTTTATGTAAAATATTGATTTTCTTTATTTTAAATACAAAATTTCGTGAATCCAGTGCTCGCGTTAATCAAAATTTCGCATTTGGCGTAAACCTGTCCCTCTTCTCCCTTGATCTCAAACGCCTCACTGCCCACCAGTTTGAACATCCATTCCCGCCGTACGATCTCCTGACAAGTGTACACATCTTTATCATTAATTCACTACTTTATACAACTATTACTCTCAACAATTAATATTCAAACTAGATCCTTTATCTTTCCATTAAAAAGATTAAATTTATATATTTTTTATTTAGTTTTAAACAAATCACATAAAAGTTTGCAATAAATAATAATCTAAACAATATTACGGTAATTTCAATTACACTTTCAACTCTAGGTAACTATTAGTGCCTTTTAGAATTTATTTATAAAGAATTCATTTTAATATCACATTTATACTCAAATTATGATAACATATTTTAATGTTTAATATTCACTGTTTTAATTTAAAAGAAATAATTTATAGCAATGAATATCGCAACAAATGTAATGCAGAATATGTGACACAGAATATCATGAAATGCGATACACATAACGAGACTACAAAATTTGTATACCTGTCCATCGACTTTGAGGACCCGTTTGCCAGTAGTAGTACCATGCTCAAACTCAATTCTATGCACTTTATCACATAGAGGGACGTCCCAAACGGCCACTAAATCAGACATCGGGTCTAACTTTACGCTAATTGACTACAAATAGTGTTTTGACAAATCTGTTGCCATAGAAAAAGCAGAAAGAAAAACAAACTCAAAATATAACTGTATATTCCGTATGAATAAAATAGTTATTTTTCAATCAAAAACTCATTCGCAAACTGAGATCAATATAACGTAAAAATAATGACTTTTTATTTTCATAGAATAAACATTTCTTTCTTCTTAATTAAGAAATGTTTCAAAAATGTTGACATAATTTTATTTTGCAAATCAAATAATGAGCACAAAATTGTTATAATGAGTGGAGAGTAGTGCCGGACTTGTCTTCGAGGCGTCGGTTGTCCTCCAAGACAATCACGTGACGAGAATTGTCTAATTCAACGAAAAGGTATCTAAACTTAGAATTGGATGACTTCTTGAATGCCTCCAAATGAACGGTTCCACTGGTTTTGGATCCTTTCAGATAGAACTTAACGCGAATCACTTGTTGTCCATCCTTTTCGTACTCAAGAGAACTGACGTGTCGTCTGCGGCCGCGCGATTCTTGAATGCCTCCAAATGAACGGTTCCACTGGTTTTGGATCCTTTCAGATAGAACTTAACGCGAATCACTTGTTGTCCATCCTTTTCGTACTCAAGAGAACTGACGTGTCGTCTGCGGCCGCGCGAAGACATTTCGCCGAACCCTTTGATGGGATCGCCGATCGCCTCAACAACTCGTACATCAGATTTACAGAGTTTTAGTGCANGAATCACTTGTTGTCCATCCTTTTCGTACTCAAGAGAACTGACGTGTCGTCTGCGGCCGCGCGAAGACATTTCGCCGAACCCTTTGATGGGATCGCCGATCGCCTCAACAACTCGTACATCAGATTTACAGAGTTTTAGTGCACTTGAATACAACACCGAAGGACTCACAGATGAGAACAGCTCTCGAAATATCGCCCAAAGGATTATTGCCGTCACTGAAACACCCAATAGTATAACACCTGTTGTCCACAAAACAATCACATTTTGTTAATTATTGCAAACTTAACCTAAACTTATGGTATAGTTATGTCTCAACGGATCCATAGTTGGCCTCAATCTACCGGTGCTTTCATTGTTATATAAACCTATGGCTCAATGTCTCAAATTAATGCCTCATTTAATAAAGTAATTAATCACTAATTGTTTCATTAAATAACTCTTCAAATCTATTGCTAAACAAAAGTATGGATTATATAAATGGTAGGAATGTATGGATGCGTTGAGAGGAGTGGTAATAGTAATGAGGGTTAAGACCAAAGTAAGTGATGTCTTGAGTGGTTTGCTTCACTTT